TACTGTTTATGGCAGGATGCAGGTCATGATGTTTGGCAAACGTTTTGCAAAACAGACACACCTGCAAGTTGTCAAAAGTCATCATGTGTATTGAAATGTGTATCTAAACACGTACATTGTGTGTAGCAAGTTTGGTTCACTGCATTTGAAATGTGATGAAATGTGTATTGAAACCTGCATCGAAGTTGTAGCACATCCAAAACCATGTTACCCAATGAACCACAACCCATTGCAGCACCATCGACAAGCAATCTTTGATGATTTTGAGTCTTGAGATGTTTTGATTTCATAGCGACAACCCAAACCAAACAAACAGTCTTATCAAAATCCATATCCGATATTGCATCACAAAACATACCCTCCAAACGCACCATACCAGAATCCATATCCAAATTCATGTATTAAACAAATGCATCATCCAATAAAACACCATATCACATTGGCCTTGAAAAAAACATAGCAAAAACAACCAGAGTATAAGAACCATTGACTCTTAGGTTTCCATAATGGTAGCAAACATGTAAAACGTGTAAAGACATGACCTGCACCCCTTCCTCATAGAATCCTGAAGAAGATCGCACTGGAATTCCGGCGGAGGGGTTTCCACCCAGAACCAAGTCCGAACTGGTATGTTAAATCAGTTCGGGGTAGAAACTCCTCCTCCGGAATCCCATCGGACATATTTTGTTCAATAGTTTCTGGAGATAAACTGTTGCAAAATTGTTCCTCCTGAAGTAAGAGCTCGCTCATCTAGACTTGTTCAAGACTCCTTCCTTTAGACGCTACGTCGAGATTCAGTTAGTTGGACCATCGCAACCACCTATATAGCTTTATGGAGGTACTTTGCGCTCCAAAAATAGCGTTTCCAACCTCGCAGGATGTGCTCGTTAGACTCCACGGCCATCATTGAGCTGAGCCGAAGGGTTTTCAGGCTCGGAGGTTGGCACACGGAGTTCTATGTGGAGGCAGAAGAATTGGAGGCTTTGAGTGCTCCGGCGGATGCAGGAGGATGTCGCTGTGTCACCGTTTGTCCCTTTGTCACCTCTACAAGGACTTGAAAAAGCAATAAACTGGCAGGTGGTTGGCATGGGCCTCTCACCGCCCTGCTTGGTATCAATATGTATCATTGATATATGTATACCCTGCTTGGTCATGTGTGTATTTGTTCTTTTTCATTTGGGGTTGAGGATCCGGATCTCCATGGATCCGCAATTAGTGGGAAGCTGGGTGACTGAAACGTGAAACGTCTGTTGTTAAGGCCATTGAGTGGGCAAGACTATCACCAATGAGTGTGGGTCTCACATGGAGGCATGCAAGGCACACAGGCAGATGAATGCCCACATGGCCACAGAGTCGAAGCGGCCACAGAGGCGAAGCGTCAGAGTGTCGAGATCGGCCGACAGACAGAGGCTGCCTCACTTAGATACACATGTAAAAAAAGTGAAAAAAACACACGCACACTCCCTCAGACAATCATGGATGTGCAAAAACCACCCGTTTTGTATTCGGAAAATGGTCATCCAAGACCTTAATGTTCCACTTCCATGACTAGTTCAATCAGGGTAACAAGATGTAATAAGTGGAATCTTGTAGCTGGCAGCGCCATTGGTCTTAAACCTGCAGCTGATTTGGCAGCGACCGAGTCCGCGTAGTTAACGGCACCTGGTCACTTTTTGACGGGATCAAGTTTGATTAGACGCGATCGGTTGTAAGATGCTTAAACTTCGCAAACATGGTTGATTGGGGCGAGTTGGTGGAGCACTTTTGTCGATCGGGGCGAGGGGCACTTTGAGGGGCATCTTGAAAACTTGACTGGGATATATGTACATATTGCTGCTGCATTGCTGGCATTTCCATGCAGCACATTCGAGGCAAGGAACGGTTTCTGTGGCATTGACATGCGCTGTTCACTGGGTCCACTGAGTGTCTCCTTGCACATACACCCTCATTTGTGGATGCAAAGGTCCTTGATACTCATCATCATCACCCACACAGGGCACTCTAGCCAATGTTGTTCAACATTGGATAACCAGTTATTTTCAGTCCTCCAAGCTGAACGGAATCACTTGAACTACAATAGTCCACTGGACACCACTGGTTTCCTCACGTTAGAGTTCTTTTTGGCCCATGGTTTGGACGAACCTATTGGGAAAGCCTCGGCAACAAACCTGTCACAAAGCACTGAACGTTCGTTCACGCCATGCCGACAGGGAGCCTTTGAGGCTGGAATGGATATGTAGCTTAGAATAGTTATGCTTCACGCAACAATGTGCAACCAGACAAGCACACCCAAGTAAATCTACAAGGAACACCCTCCAGTCATGCCAAGGTGCCAGCATCGCAGAGCTGCCGAAAGCCAGCATTGATCACTTGGGGCTGAGCCGCCAAGCGCTGCCCTTTCTCCTGGAGCTAGTGAAAGAAGGGGTGAAGGTCGCCCACCGAGCGGATTTCAGCAATGTGTTGGATATGCCCTGGAAGAGACCCACGTGATGACGAACCTGAAACCCACAGGAACATCGCCTTCCAGTTCGGTCCGTGAGTCACCATGAGTCCAGGTTCCATCACGTTTCATGCGGGTCTTTTCCCGGGTGTACTTGTGGGGGGTGGAGGGATCGATCAGCTCCCTGGAGTCACAGAGCTCAGGCACCCCGGCTTCCGAACGGAAGACGTGAGGGGTGCCCCGTTTTCACATGTTTTCACATCACATCCACTGGATGGGACTAAGCAACATGTACCACCCCGAGCTCTGTGACTGGTGCAGATGTTGTTCGTTTGAGCACAAGTCTCAGTTTATGGTCATGAAGCATGTTGCATTACTACGGGCTTCCAGGCACAAACCTCAATGATGCACTCCAAACGGGATGTAGAATCCTGCTGGCATGCGCAAAACAAGACGACAACCACCTGTCCATATTCGAGGAACCCTCACACATACCAACTGATGGGGTCCTTTGCCTTGTTTTCCTCCCCCGGAACTCCCAGCACCGTAACCACCAGACTCGCACAGGTTCCACCCACCCCCCCCGTTCGAAACGTCGCCAGGTGAAGGCTACGGGCTTTGGGCGACTGCAAGGGCTGCAGCCCTTGGAAGCTTTGGAAGCGATTCACCAGGCGGCTTAAGCCGCGTTTGGGGATCGGGCGTTTCGGGCGACGAAGACGCGATATCGATGTGCAGGTGTTCGGTGTGTCGTTGACCTACTCTCCCTGGAACTAACATGGAAGTGGAACACCACCTGTTTGTAGTGGAACATGGTCTTCCTTACGGAGCCATTCTCCACTTCCATGTTAGTTCCAGGGAGTGTAATTACTACAAGCATTTGTTTGGGGGAAAGTTTTTAGTGCAATGAACCACTGGGACCTGGGTTCGCAACAGGGTGAGGAACCTTCCAATAGAACACTCTACATGCCCTAGTGCTGAAAGCGCCTCCATTGTCAATGATTGTCAATCAGCACTTAGACTTCCATCAAACGGGTTGTGCCCAGCTTCTAAATCCAGTTTGTCTCCACAATGGCCAGCAACTTCTTTTGACGCTGACCTTCCACACATCATGCATGCATCCATACATACTGTGAATACCTACCTACCTACATACCTACATACCTACAGTACCTACATACCCACATAAACATGTTTCACAGCTGCCAGTTCACACTAACCATTGTTCTTAGCCATTAACATCATTAACACACCACTTCTCCAGTTGCATTGCCGCCCTGAGGTGGACCCTGCAGCGCTGCTCTTCGGCAGCGACTTACCCTGCACGCGTGCACCGCGGCCCTTTCACCTGGCGGATGTGCATCTCATTGAGCAGCACTTCGGGGACGACGCGGAGCGGATTTGCCTGAAAAATGCCATGGACTTCTATGGCGTCGAAGAGGCTAGCTAGCGGGATCTCGAGTTCGGTACGCATGGTGCTGACCGGTGGTGACGGAAGCTGACGGGAACCGCTGCCAGAGATGTTGGTCAGCTATATACTTAGAGTCTATATACATAGGGTTTGGTCAAAGAAGGAACTGCAGTGCAGTTGCATTGACAAGAACTCACTCAACACATTGGAAATTGAAGGGCTGGCGGGACTCTTGTAATACATAAAAGCAATACATGTGTTTTCACTGATGGGGAAAATCTGGTGTCCCCAAGAAGTTGCATTTTGCACTTTGAGGTGAGCAATGACGACCTGGCAAGATGAGCAAGTTAACGTTCATGAACTTCAAGCATCCAGTCCGCTGGCGCATGAACTGCACTGCCGGCTTGCACGCTTTTTCCGTACACACGAGCTCTGGCTCGGGCAAGTAGGCGCCCACAAGTCAAGCCAAGTAGCGGCGGCGACCTTGGAGCCACAGAGACCGGCGGGCTCGCCCAGCCAAGACGTCTCCCTGTCGTCCTCGGCTCTGGACATGGTGACATGCCGTATCTGACCAACACGACCAACACGGAGCTGGTTCCAAAGATACCCCAAATGATCCCCTAAGTCTGATCAATTATGAGTCTACAAACGTGCTCCTCACATTCCATTGTGAAATATTTGGCTTCAACAGTTACCCTGGTTGTCGTAGAGGACACATGGTCTTTGAAAGGGCCATGCCATCCACAAGCGATGCTGCTTTTCGGGCGCAGACCACAAGCTGAATAGAGATGAATGGAGCTGGATTGCTGGATGGGAAAAAAGGGCATGAAAAAGCATGAGGAAGCCGTTGGGGAAGCCGTTGGGTGGCTAACACGTTGAACAGCTGGCCTTCCGTTCCGTCTCCCTGAAGATCCTTTTTGGACGCACAAAAGGACCTCAGCCAGGGGGGCTGGAGTCTTGAAGCTCACTCCGCCAACTTTGTTAATTGTCTACCTGGATATGCCATGTCTCGACTAAATCTCGACTCTTTCAGTACCCCACACCTGAATCAAAGCACCGACCGTTGATGTGCTCAGGTGTGTGCATGCTGGAGCCAACAACTTCAGCTCCCATTTGCCTCAGCTCCCATTGGCCCCAGCTTGATGTCTTCAGGAGACCATCCAACGCCTGCAAAATCAAATGGACGAGAACGAGACTCGCCTACAGTCTGTGGATCGGAGCCAGGCGCGGGCTGCCGAGAGAGAGAGAGAGAGACGTCGGCGGTGTGAAGGGGCTGGGATCTGATGCCGGATGAGGTGCATCCAGATGAAGTGGAAGGGAAGAATATCGGTGCTGGCAAACTTGGAACATGTTGGGGATCAACAGGTCCACCGGCCCTGGGGCCTTTGGTTGAAACGTTGTTTAAGCCACGGGTCGGGTGACGCGGCCTGTCACATTGTAACCTCAAGGCATCATGATGTAGCCATCATCTTGTATGGAAATCATGTTTGAAATAGAATGGACGGCAATTTTGTAAAAGGATCACTTTCTCACGAAGCTATAGCCATCCACACACTATGTAAAGAAGGGAGAGGGTGTCGAGGAAATCAAGACAATTTTAGTTTGATAAGGTTTGTCGGTTTGTCGTCCATTTGATTCGCACAGACAAACAAAATTGTACAAAACAATTTCCTGCCATATTTTGTAAAAACAGATCACCATGTCATTCGAGAACAGGCCACCATGGAGGCTTTTTTGCTGATGTTCTCCGATCTAGTATGATCCAGGCTCATTTGCTCTATTCGATTGTAATCTCCTGGATCTCTCTGTGTTGAAGCATGTTGAAGCCTACATGATCCACAGATTCTACAAAACGATGGTCCGTTTTGTTGAGAGTGTCCTGGCTCTACAGAATGACAGCAGTTGCTGAGAGTGCTTTGGCTCTACAACATGACAGCTCTTTGCTTATTCCAGACCCGCTTACCTTTCCTATTTGTTGTTTGGGGGGGGCATCCTTTGTGCTGATTCCAAAGTTGTCCAAACTTGCTTGCCCTTTTATCTCTTTGTTCCTCACACGGCTCTATAAAAAGATTGTGCATGGTAATTAGCTTTTACAAAAAGATTGTCAATGGTGTTGACGGTGTCCTGGCTTTGCAAAACAAAAGCTCCTTACATCTCTTTACTAATTCCGGACCCACCCATATCCATCCATATCCTGTTACAATCCCTCGCCTGTATCAATTTGTTTCTGTCTTTCTTTCTCAGAATATGTTTTCTTTGGTTGTCCTGGCTCTACACAATGACAGCTCCTTTCTCATTCCAGACCTGCTTACCTTTCCTATTTGTTCTCAGACTGTCCGTTGTTTTGGGGGGGCATCCTTGTTGCTGATTCCACAGCTGTCAAACCTGCTTATATAACCGTTCCTCTCTTTGTTCCTCACATGGCTCCAATAAAATCATTATGCATAGGGTCTGTCCGTTCTTACCTGTAACAGTCAGTAAAGAATTATCATCATGACCATGACCAAGGCCTGCAACCATAACCAGGCCCCATGATCATCCACTGGGCCCAGGATAGGCTCGGATAGACCCAAGCCATATGCATGATATTTAGTTATAATTAGTGATAACCACTATGTTGAGACCAACCGGAATGTACGCGACGCTGTCCACGGAATGTACGCTGCTTCCCATTGGTAGTATTTACGACATTTGTGTGCCTAGTGCAGCCTACTAACACTATGAAATCGTGGCATTCAACGTCTCCTGTCCAGACAAGCTGATGTGATCTTAGCTGTCTTGTCTCTATCTTGTCTCTATGAAGTGCCGGGACTGCACGTCACACTTTGGCCCTTTGGCTTGTAGGGCTCCAGCGTCTCTAAATGCAGAATGCTTGGCTACATCCTTTCCAACTTGAAACATCGACTTGATGTGGACACATTGCAGTATGTGTGTGTGTGTGTGTGTTTTTTTTTTAAGTCATTATGATCTCAGAGTCCATCATTTTATGAAAAATCACTTGGAAATCCCGCCATTTTGCAAAGAACAACCCATGTTCCGATGAATTGTGACTTCAAATGGGGTGCACGGGGTTCTGTGAAATCTCAACCAAGATGGGGGACATGATTTTGGGACTTAGTGAAGACTCGTAGGACTCTTCGTCTGACTCCATGTGCTCGTTTGGTGTGAAGTACAGGGGACCTTTAGTCTTTCGGGGTTGCTGGCTCGCCACAGCATCCGATCGTAGTTTCGGGAGCAAACTGAGCAGAGATAACGAGAGGCTCGACTCACATCGAGAGGCTCGACTCGCGGTTTCCGCCATGCTGAAGTGTTTTTTTTCCTCAACTTACTGAGACTGCACCTGGGTTACTGGCCTGAGTGTTGAAGGAAAAACCATGCAAAACAACTTTGCATCACCTGGAGCCGGTCTGAATTCCACGAGCTAGTAAGAGCTAGTTCTTCTTTAGCAAATTCTTCTTCCGTCTTCCACCACGCCCAAAAATGCATCCACAGATATCAGCCTGGGGTGCATGGTGGCCTTCCTAAGCATTGAAGACCCAGAAATCCATAGAGATCCCGAACTGCGCCGGCGCAGCAGTCCTCTCAAACTGGGAGCCACCTTTCCTCCCCTCCTTTGGTCCACTACCTTCCCCTCCAGATGCTTCATGGAGAGGATGATATGAGGGTCGACGATGGTCAAAGTGTGAAGTTTCTCCGCCTGGGGTGGAGATTCGATGGAGGTTTCCGGTGGATCAGCATCACAGAAACAACACCTAGTAGGCAGGCCTTCGCAATTTGGATGAATGTTCAGACCTGCAGCTACCAATCCTTGTATATACATCCCGGTAGCAACTCAAAAAGATAGAAGAGTGAAGGACTTCCCTCATATCCCTCCGCTCCACATTAGGGAAACTTGGACATGTTTTTCTAGATTTGGTGACCTGTCTATGTGTGTATTTGATGATGTTCCTCTCCCAAGCCCGAAGACCCTTCGACCTCCCCCGGCGAATCCACCGTCCCCTCCTCTCAGCTTGGCCTATCGGGCCGCATCGAACAAGTGGCTGGGCAGATCGGAGATGGGGAAGCTTTCATTCCCTGGAAAGCCGGATGGCACCACCTGTTTTGGTTTGGAACACCACGCCGGAAAAACCACCCTGTATCGAGAAACCCTGAAGGAATCATGGAAGATATGGAAGTGGATGGCACCACCTGTTTTGTCTTCGGAATATGTCCTCCTTCCAAGGGGGCCATGTTCCGAACTTCCATGATTGTTTCAGGGAATGTATTTTGATTGTTGATGAAAAGCAGGCAGCAATGACCCTATCCTGGTTGCATATTGTAGCGCTGTGTTTATACAGTTTTGGGCCATGAGCCAAGCCTCGCTCTTAATTGGCCAGAGGCTTGTCAGATGGTGCTAAACACAGTCCCCCCCAAGAAAACCGTTCGCCCAGAGAACCACCCGTTTTGGATGCACTCACTTGCGGACTATCTCTCCCGCGCCCACATCAAACCCTTGCCATGTTGTATGGCGGGTGTTGGTGGGTTTCTCCGGTGAAAACGGTCATGATGGAGACAAAGTGATTCAACAGAAAACTACGTACACAAAAACACTACGTGAAACCGAATGCAGAGACGAAAGAAGTGAAATCATGGATTGTACACATCAAGGACCAGAAGTTGCAAATGAATTTTGTTTTGTAAGAGTAATCGAACAAAACTTGCATTCCAGGAAAGGACCTAATTCGGGGCTGACGGATGTCGGATGGTATCAAAATCTTTGTGGCGGAACATTGCATACCGCACATGTTGCGTAAAGGCCTCCTGCTTGTCGGGCGGGACTTCAGATAGACCAGGCCACGGAGGTGTGACTAAATCTGATGGCAGTTCAGGGACCTCAATTTCATTATGAAAAGGTGGGTCGTGTGGCATAGTTTGTAGCATCTTATGCAAGACTGTAGTGGTCAAAACAGCATTTGGGAGTTCTGGTCTACGAGACAAACCGCCTTCATGATAATTGGTGAAACCAAGTCTGGTCAAACTGGATGTACCCTGTTTCTTATACGCGGGGATGACTTTCGTTCTAGAGAAAGTCTGGATATGCTTAATGATCCAGCGGAAACTTTCTGACAAGACACGAAGAGATTTAGCCTTCAGGGGCAACAGGCGAACCTTTGGATCCGTGTACTGCAAAGTGACTTGACGCTTCCCTTCTTTAATTCTTATTGGCAGGACTTGATTGGCCCATAACATGAAAGACAAAGCAAGTTCTGTCCATGAGATGCCTGGGTCTCCAGGCACCGATGGATTGGCAGGGTCAGGCCAATGTACACGTGTCGAAAATTGCCAAACCAGGTAACACAGGTTAACACCCCAAGAACAGCACCAGAAAACCACCCGATGTGGTTCAGGAGGTGGTGTGAAGTGGATTCCCTGAATGCACCATGACTTTAGTTTATGAATTTGGTTCTGGAATACGTCGACTGCCGGGGCAGAGATATGTCCTTCAGGAGCATGTAGCGTTGGGGAGGGTTTCTTTTCTTCCAAAAGTTCCATGCGCTTATGTGCAATTGCGAGTAAAAACTGGTAGATTTTGCCAAAATCATGTTGGTTCGCATGGTAGTGGGTGCGAATCTGTTCACACATGTTGGTGAAATCTGAATCATCTGTATTACGAATGCGGGCCGCAGCTTGATCGGCAAAGGCATTACCATGGATGTGCCAAGCTTGCTCAGCATTTTGAGCCGTCTGTACATCCATATGAGACTTAATTTTGTACACATGGAATCGATCTGGGTCCCACACATCCAGCAGACGCCGGATGAGGTCCCAATGTGCTTGCTTATGTTGACTAAGTTCGCTGGTGCGACTTTCAATACGCTCTATGACCTGGATTACGAACTGTGAGTCAGTAATGAAGTCAACGGGGCTGTGGAAGGGCAATGCGACGATCTGCTCTGCCGCGACCACGATTGCGAACAATTCTGAACGATTAGTGGTTTGCATTCCAACGCAATGTCCCAAGGCAAAAATTTGGAAACGATAGGGGCAGCCTTCATCGAGGGTAGGCGTACGGAGTACTGCCGCCCAGGCCGCACGGGCGGCATATGGGTCTTTAGGATGGTCGCAGGTGCCGTCAGTATAAACCACCGCGTGATGGGCAAGGGGAGATGTGGGTGTACACTCGAACTCCGCGCATCTTAAGTGCATGGCTTGCCGGACAAGTTCCACCCGGGGGTGGTGACACGGCAGGGGAAACCAAAGGGTTCTCCGGTTTGCTGCGATATACGCAACTGCATGGGGGTGTTCGGTACGCACTGATTGAAAAGATGAGCACTCCAGGAGCTGATGGCTATGCGTGTCATACTGGCCACAGAACGGACAATGTGGATCCTGCGTAGCAGACCACCCGGAGATGGCCCCTAATGATTGCCATCCTGATGTAATACTTAAACACAGAATCCTACGTTGGCGATCAGTTAAAGGCTGCATCAAACGGAGCGTGGTGAGGGAGTCAAAAGGAGTATCGGGTGCCCCTTTACGATGTATTATTTCCTGATGACAAAACCAGTCCCAGGCAATGCGCAGTTGCGACTTGATTTGCTTGGTGGATGATGTTGCGATGTTAACCCGCAGCCCGCCAGGGCCCAGGAGTGTAGCGTGTTGTGTCAGTTCCCACCCCAGGGAGCGAAGGTAGGCAGCCAGGGCACTGGCGGGGCCTCGGACTTTACCCTCAAATGTTCGGATCGTCGTGATAATTTGGTGTGCCATGGTAGGGTAATATGCGAACAAACGCCGCAAAGTAGATAGCATATCGGAAACAAGGTAGAGGAGAGGGTCCTGCACTTTGGCTGAAAGGAAATGCATAGCGATGGGACTAGAGGCATACTTGTGGTCTCCGACCAACACATTACAGGCTGCTCGACGCAAGGTGACGAAATGCCGAGATCCAATGGAAACTCCCAAGGCACCATAAAAGGTAGCAGGCCAAATGGCCGTCTGTATTTTTTCCGCCCGTTCGTCTAGAGGAAGCTGCAGTTTCCGGAGTCGGTTACATTTGGCCACTGCATTATCAATCTTGTCTCTTAGTGGACCCAAAACCACTTGGTTGGTATATGAGATGGTGCATCCCAGATCATGCACGTGGCTCTTAATTGTAAAAACAAAATGAGGGTCCATTAAGAGGGCTGCGGCGTCGTGCCAAAATGTGCGAAACTGCTTAGTCGTGGCCCAACACCACGACTTGGAGAAGTCGATACGCATCCTTAAATCAGTGATGAAATTTAACATGTTGGTCATGGTCTGAAAACAACTTCTTTCGGAGGTCGACATGAAAGACCAATTATCGGCATATGCGAAAGGGTAGACCCGTGGCGTGTGAATCTTGATGTAATACACGAAGCTCAAGGAGAGCATTCCCACTACCGACATGCTGTCTCCTTCGGGAAGGCCAGTGGTTGAGTTACAAGGTTCACCAAGACTTCTTCCGCTCTGCAAAACTCTGGTAAGCCTTGTGAGTGACAAGAACCAGAAGTCGGAAATGTGGGTTGGGACTCCAAGGATCTTAAGTATATATATGTCGAATCACCCGCCTCGGGATGAGGTTGAACGCTTTAACTAGGTCCATTGTCCAACCTCCCCAAGCTGTGTGGTTCGATTTTGCGTGTTCTATTTGTAATTGTTGCATTAGGCAGAGGTCTCTGGCTGACCGCCTCGGGAGGCCCCCACTGATTACAACTGGCCATGATTCTGACCACTGACGAAGAATTTGGTCCGATATTAGTTTCGATGTGAGGCGGGCTATATAGCCTAGAATGGTGATTGGCCTTCCGTCGGAGATCGACGCGGGCCGTTCTTTCTTTGCGAAAAGCAAAGTGCGTGAACGCATTTGTTGCGGTGTTAGACCTTTGTGCCAAATGGCGCCGAGCAAACGGGCGAGGTCAACAATCATACTCCAGGTGAGACGTTGCAATTCCTCGGCATGCCAACCATCTATTCCTACGGCACGATAAGGTTTAAGACGATGGATGGTGTCCCATAACAACTTAGGGTCGTCATATTTAAGGTCGAGCATGGGTTGTGCAGGGATGCACATGTCTAAGTCGTCAAGTAAATGTTGCCATGGTTCATCACTGACTTGGTCCTGGTACGTGTCTCTCATCCAAAACTGCGACCAATACGAATGAAATTCATGGGACATGTCTGTGATGTGGTATGCATGGGTTTCGTATTGCATCAAGGCTGAGGACGGTAATCGCCCTTGCACGGCAGATAGGGTAATGGAGGAACCAGTGACATCTGCAACCGTGGCACTGCATGTTCCGATTTTTACCCTAGCGCCTACAGGGATTGACACCGGCTCGTGCATAGTAAATTTGGGCCGGTTACCTCTTGCTCTGCAGAGGGTGACTTGTGTCTGCTTGATTACAGGAAAGTCGTTAAGGAACTGCTGCTCCTTTCCCTTTATAAACTTATATGCATTCGAGTTATTGGTGTGCGATCGCGCCAAGGCAAGACAGTGGCGCTTGTGATGTGCCCGAAGACGTGCCTCTTGACGCGCATATGCATCGGAATCAAGTCTGGTAATCTGGATGGCGTCCAGGAGCCATTCGGCTGACGGGGGTTCACATGGGACGAAAGGAACGCAAGCGAAGCTGAGCAGCCATGATTCCCAGGACCGTCCGTACCCCTGTGCTGTTTTGATTGCTTGCCACTCCTGCTTGATTTGTTGTTGTACTTGTGTCGATGGACCTGCAGGTCTGTGTTTCTTAATCTGTCGTTGAAGAGAAATTAATCTGCGTGTTTGTCGCGCCTTCAGCTTGGCCTTGTTGGATGTCACTCCAGTAGGAGGATCATACCCTTTTGTAGGGTCAGGTTTAATAGTCTTGGGGGCGACATGTGTGACAAACCTTATGGGAGCACATCTGCCGAAAAATTTCTGTGGAAAACTGGGTTGTGGATAGCGCATTGGGTCTTTTGAATGGTGCAATCTTAAACAGTGTTTGACGGCTGCTTCTACTCCCTTGGACCATCGGTGGAAAGCATCATTGATTTCGTCTT